TTGTTTTTAGGTTTTTCGTTAATGTTAAATACTACAATTATATAATTACAATTATTTACACAAAATTACACAAGCATTATTACAAATTAGCAACTAAACTAATCGCATTTAATTTATTTTATTTACTTAGGCATTACTCATTCAGTTTAGATTTATGTTTATTTTATAATTTATTTTTTTATCTTCCTATTTAGATTTATGTTTATGTACATACAGGGTCTAGAGAGGGGGTAGTCGGGCCTAATGAATTTAATTTATATTTCTTGTTTACATATATCACACATATGCCACTAATAATTGTGGCACAAAATAAAAATAATAAATCGAAATCGATTGGGAAAACCGACTTCAACAAATTGCACAAAAAAACGAAACTGGGTAAGGAAAACAGTGTGTCTCATTTTAGTGTTTTTTTTGGGATAATGGTGGTGGGACGGCGGTTTTGATCGCGGCATGACTAGATTGGAGGATCTCATCCTTACTCCTCCTAACTGGCTGTGCTCTGCTGCTGCTGCTGTTGCTGCTGAGCCTTGGCCCGCTCCTTGGCCTCCTGCTGGGCCTTCTTGGAGCGCTTCCACTTCATCCTGCGGTTCTGGAACCAGATCTTCACCTGCGTCTCCGACAGCATCAGTCCACTGGCCACCTCGAAGCGCTTCGGTCGGCTGAGATACTTGTTTTGCTTGAACTGCTTCTCCAGTTCGAGCAACTGCTGCGACGTGAAGGCCGTGCGGGGTCTCCTCGTCTTGCCCAGAATGGCATGATGCGGATAGGCCGCTAGTTCGGGGATTCTGTGATGAAGCATTCCGGCGCGGGCGAGAAACTCAAATTGCAGCTGCGAGGGCATGAAATTGTGACCCATGGGGAGCTGTGGAGGGAAGAGAAGAATATAGAAAAGATTAATTTAAAATATTGAAGTAAAAACTTAAAGATTTATATTATTAAAATAAACTAAGGTTATTTACTTACCGGTATGGGTTTTCCGGATGGATCCAGAGGTCTATGGAAGGCAGAACCACCTTGAGCCAGCAGCTGGTAGGGATGTCCTCCGGCATAGAGCGGAAAGTCCTGCGGCCTGATGGGACTGTGAGGCGGAACGGGCTTCTTAAACTCATCATGCAGATCGGACATGCGCATGGACAGGTGCTGGGGATGCATCCCACCCTGCGGCTGCTGATCCTCGCATCCTGGACTAATGGGCGGACTAGAGCGATGTGAAGAGCTGGGCGACTCCGATCTAAAAAAATAAGAAATACATACCAGAGTGAGACAAGGAATTATCTAACCCATACGATGGCAATCGCGATTACGCGACACATTTTGAAAACAATTAATATTACTGCCAACCAGTCTTTGTCTAATTTGTTTGCTTTTCTACACAATTCGCACTTGAAAATTAGCCACTCACACACTCATCGGTGCAATACATGGGAGACACATGGCGTATACGTAATCTGATCGCTTGATGACCAACCTGAAATAGACCAATTGAGGGCCTTTGGCTTTCTGGTTTGCCATGTTTTCGAGTGCCAACAAAGCTGCTTTGTTGGGGCTTCGTTGGGGCTTTCCTCTGGCTTGCGAAATGGTTTCTGCCGAGTGCCAGGGTTTTGTCTGCCAAAAGCCTGGTAGCCAGCGAAAGGATTAAAGGACTAAGTCGAGTAAGTGGAATGGCTTTTCGGGGCTTAGTAAAAATATTTTCGGTATTAAATTGTAAGAAATTCTGATTCTATTGAAATGAGTAGTGGATAGTTATGGGGAACTATACAATTAAATTATTTATCATCAATGTTGAGTAAAAGCTATTGACAAGTCCTATTAGTTGGTCTAAAGAATAAGCTATTTGGTCATTGTTTGTAACAATGCATCACATTGTTATTTAATATTTTGTGGAATTATGAAAGTCCATGTGTTAATAATTCTTTATAGTCAATTTTAATCCCTAACTAATGGAACTTTTAGTTAGGAAACTATTAAAAAGTGTGAGAAATAGACTATTCTTCTTACTATACTATACTATATTATTAATAAAAAATAATTATATTTCTTTAGTGGCAAAACCTACCTTGACATGCCGTCGGGACTGGGAGAGTCGTATTCCCTGGACTCCCGTATACGCTGCAGTGCCTCCTGTTCGCTGATCCCGCCGGCAACTGAAGCTGCCGCCTGGGCAGCCGCCGCCGCATTGGAGGCTGCCACAAAGGCGTGGTTCAGTTCCGCCTGATCCCGGGCATAGTGCAACGCCGCCAGACGATCATCCACAATAATGGGCTGCGGCTCACCAGAGGCCTGGTGTTGGCTCTTGGCCAGGAGAGCGTCGATGCAGAAGGACTTCTTGGGCTGGCTTTGGGAGGGCGGCAGCAGCGTGGTTGCCGTCAAGGGGGCTCCACTGTGGCTAAGGTGATTGCTGGCAGGTTGTGGCGATATGTTGGGCGGCTGCACACCCACCGGCGGTGCACTAGCGGGCATCATGACGGCGGCCATGGGAAGACGTGGCAGGGGATAGGCGCCCAGGGCGGGATGGGGATGTGGCACATGATGTGGAGGCGGTGGCGGCGGCGGGAATCCGTCCACATAGAGCCGGGGATGTGGTGGAGGCGGCGGCGGAGCAGCCCCTACTGGCATTGGAGCTACCAACAACGGCATGACTGGCTGGCCGAGGTGACTGCTATCCGTGGTGGTGTTATCCTGGGTACTGCCCGATCCTCCTGGACTCAGGCCCGGAGCGTAGGCGCTGTGCGGGGATCCGGTGGTGGCTGTGGAATGGGTGGGACTACCACCTGCCGCCGGGGGACTGGGAGTTGCCTGGGATCTCGGCGACAGAGTGGAGTGATTGCTGGCCTGATCGTAGTCCTGCGTGGGCTGGACTGGCGGCGAGGATCTCGGATGGGTGAGCTGGTGGTGCAAACTATTGCTGTGGTGCTGGTGAATGTGGCTCAGCAGCAACTGCGACGGCATCGAACTGGTATTATTTGGCGTCAGCGGCGGCGGCGGCTGTTGCGACACTTGGGCACTGGACATGCTTCACTTAGAGTCACCAGAATATTGGTTTTTATTCAATATATATTGCAAGAATATTGTGTAACGTGAGGTTTTCAAAACACTTTCGAAACTCGAACACACGCCTCGAAAACTAGAGATCTCCGAACGCGAAAGCAAGCGCTTCCAGACTGCGAACCGAATTCGACGAGCGCTCATTAACGATTGTGCGCTGCTGGCCGGGAACCCGTATGTCATATACCCGGGTATCTCAGACCCACCGCTCACCCACTCTAGACCCTGTTATCAACCACCCAGTCGCTTTCTCTCTCTCCATTTCTCTCTCGCGTTGTCTCCCTCTTTTCTGCTCTTTCAAGATGGAGTACGTGCTGGCTACACACACACATCCATACATCCTCAGTGTATGAGTATATACCGGGTGAGAGAGCAAACGGGATAGAGATATAACGGTGGGTGTGGCCAAATGGCCTAAAATGTCCAATGGCTGGGCGTGGTTAGCCAGCAATGAGAAATAGAGAATGTGGATGGGAAAATTTCATATAAATTGTTGGAAAAACGAGGCTATAATTGCCATCATTATGGAGTGTTGAGCAACTAACAAGTTCAACGGCAAAAGTCGAAAGAATCTTCATAATCAACTGAAAGGGGGGGGGGGAGGTTCAAGGGAGAGGTCCTTGATGGAGCACTAACCAGTAGGGAGGACAGCTACAGATGGATCACATCGGAAGTCTGGATGGCAGATGATTAGGGCAGCAATTAAGCCACTTGGGTTGGCTCACATTTCACACAACCCGCCACTGCCACTGCCACTGCAGCTTTAAGTCCTTACAAAATCAATAATCCCCCCAATGTCCAGCCACCCAGAGGGCCTCCTTGAATCCGTTAACAATAAACGATTCGTTTCATTGACTTTTTATAACTTGGTTGGCAGTTTGTGGCCTGGCCAGTCGAGGTAATGCTCCTATAATGCATTTTCTTTACGTGCGTGTTACTTTACGACCCACGCACATGGACTAGAGACGTTTTTAATGTTTCCTTGATGGATTACTAAGTGGACATGAATGGCTGTCAGAGGGGTTCTTCTCCAAGGACATGGTTAATGGATAAAAAGTAATATTAAGTCCTAAGATCAAAGAGATTTAGATGTTATAGGAAATCTATAAACGTACAATGACTTATTAGAACAATTGGACAAATATTTTGGTCCTTCGAGACAAACTTGAAACTACCTATAGGCCTAAAGACTTTAAGTTTTTTCATGCATCATACAACCAAAAAGGTAACTTTAACTTAAAACCCTTACTTAAAAAAAAACCAACAATCTCAAACTCCCACTATTACCATTTCCTAATTGAAGTCTTTAGTCAATGCCAAAGTAAATAGTCCCTCAAGTAGCTGGCATTGAAATCCAAAAATGAACGGTTCCAGAACTTGAAAACCATAACAAAAAATATCCAATGTCCAGACAGGAAAAAAGAGTTAAGAGGTCAGAAATGAGGGAACAAACTCCTCGCTAACAAGAAACGTGCCAAAGTGTATTTTCTTTAACCACGTACAGGAGAATAGAACCCAAAAGTGCCCGAAGTAGAGGAAAATGTTTTCCCAAAAACTAACTCAAAATTAGTGCGATGTCTGCAATGACGACTGATTGCTGTCGTTTCCCTTGACCCCCAACTCCCGAAAAGTTGCTATCCGGGTCTTATTTTATTTTCATTATACGATATTTATCTACTCATCCACGTGCATTTAACTAACATTTATGGGTGGCGGCGGTGTGGAGGCAAAGACATGACCTGGCAATGGTCCAGGGCCAGCTTTGTTATGGCTCTGTATGATTTGTGTTGTTCCGGAATAGTTTATTTTATATAACAATACAAACATGGAGATGAAAAGTGAAGAGGTGTGAGGCTTGGTATCCACAGAAATTGGTATTTTTGGGGATGAAAGTGTGAGGATTTGGGATTGGGGTTCGGTTTTGGCTGGCATTGTGTTTGCTGTTAGTTTTGTTTGCCTGATTTCATTTTGATTTTGGGGAAATGGTAACGTAAATATGCAATTAGAGTTTAGAATAGTATATAACTAAGCAGGCTAAATCTCAAAAAATACAAGTGACATTTTTATATTTTTTTAATGTGGAAAATATCCCTATTTCTTATCCTCATTGGCGCCACTTTGTGTGGTTGCCAGCCTAAATCATTTCTTAGTGAAATGCAATGTTCGGATTGTAGCCAAATTAACCAAAAATGTGAAATCATCACGAGCGGATGGAGTTGCAATTATGAGTTTGATGCGAAACTAATCAAAAACACGTCAGTGCGCCTAAGCGTACCACATTTGAGAAAGTGCGTACCTTATGATTTAGGTTTTGCCCAGAACAGTGAGTACTAAAGATATTAGTTTCTACTATTTAAAAAGCTATTAAGTTTCAGAGGCTATTTTTGGTTTCTGCTGCATCTGGTCTCCAATAATTGGCTGCCAAAAATTAATGCGAAAAGAACGGATACCTGGTCACGATAAATGCTATCAATGTTCCCGGAGCACTTGGTCGTCACTGATGTCAACTGAAACCTGTCCATGTGGAGATTGGTTCTTTGGAGACCGTCTTGGTGGGGCTTCTAGTCTTAAAGGCACAAAGTTCTATGGACTATTAGTTAGTCTTTTCTCTGGTTTAGTCTCCATCAATCTTGTAAACTTCGTCACACTTTAATTTTCAAAATTTGTACTCGTATATTGTCATTGAACCCTTCCAAAAATAATCAAATTATTAAAATTTACAATTTTTCTAAATTGCTGTTGCACACCCCCAATAAAATACACCCTTCTATTTTATCTGGGAAAACCATCTAGGATATTAGCCGAATCGCTAATCAGGCATTAAATTTGGCAGCAAATATCATCAGCCAGAAACAGAAATCACCAATAATAATAAATCGTCACATATGTTGCTGCAATTTAGCCGATGTGGTCAGCATCTAAATCCCTTTTGGAAGGCCTACAATTTCTCCCTTTTGGCCGTGTTAATTCAGCCGATAAGTGAACAATAATGCCAGAAAATTTCAACAGATTTTCCAGAGCCTTAGTTAGCTAAGTAAACAAAACTTGAAGCGTTGGCAAAATCGCTGGAAGGGTAAAGGCTTAGTGTACCAGGAGGGTTGATTGAGTTGACTTTGACACTTGTATTCTGTCCAAATAGAGGAGAGAAAGGGAAAATTGTTTAAAAGATTTTTGGAAAACGTTTTAAAACAATAACCACAACACACCACCACCTCATCCCATTTGTTCATTAATCACAACCAGCTATCAACCACACCCAACTGGATTGCAATTGATAATTGAGCAAATATTTATGTGCAAATAATTGGCATTAAATTGCGTTATCAATAAATAATTTTTACATATCCTCTGGCAGCCAGATACAATATCTGCGGATACAGATACATCAGTCGTGTCATTCAGTCAGTTGTATCTACAAAGTGGCTGCAATCGGCTCATTATGTTGACTGAGTTGTGGCACCGAGTACTCACTTTATGCAAATTATTACTGCACTTTGGTATTTATTATTCATTATTTGCTTTTGTTTTTCTCCCACTGGTGGCATGTCTCTTCGATTTGTCTGGGTTTCCTTATATTCTGCGCAATGTATTAAACAAACCAAGGTGGGTTCAGTTTCAATTGACCCCAGCGATTACTAACGCTTGCCACACTTTCTAAGGAGGTCATCATAAGTGATAAAGGAGAACTTTATAGCTTCAATGTATACTATATTATAAATCAATAAGACCAGAGAAAAATTCCCAATTAAATTAAATATCCAATAATATGACGATAATAAAGTAAATTTCATTTATTGACAAAAAATTTTAATTGATTTTCAACATTCAGAAAATAACCAAAAGGCCACACCCCCATATCTCATCCGCCCTCCACCTCCTCGAATCCAGTTCCCTGATAAAGTTTATAATTGAGTTGTGTTTTTTCATTAAGTGCGCGAATCGATTTGCTTTTGTTATTGTTTTTATGGTCGGCTCGCCAACGGAGCAAACTTATTAAAAACTGATAAACTCAATTCAATATTTTCCCTTGCCCATATATTTTTTTTGTTTTTGTATATATATTTTTTTTTAATTGGTTACGAGTATATATAAAACGTAAGAATTATGGGAATCATTAATGAGATAATAGTCGCCCCAAATAACCGAACTGCCTGATAATCCTTGCTGTTGGCGTTCGGAGAGGAAATTGTTTACTGAACGATTGCAAATTATTAATTTGATTAGGCCACCGCCACCGACCAGGGGTCGTTTTGTTTCCGCTCTGAAGTCTGGAATTCTTGGCTGGGTTTTAGGGTCCGCGGGCTTCGAGATAAAGGTGATTTGTGAGGGGTTCTTTAGGTACACTTTCAAGATTTTTTCAAAACACGTGAGTAATATGGCTTAAAGAACTATTTTTGGCGATTATTTCATTTGGTATTAGTACATTGTAGACCTATTAGAGCTTGTAACCTGATAATAAAGTGAAAAATAACATCACGGTTTGAAATTCTAGCTCATTCTAGCTTATTTTAACTACCTTTCAGAGGGTTTTAATATTTTGTCCACCACAATCTGGATGTCTTGACTAAAATACTTCCGAGTTATACCTTAAGCGGAATACCTTAAACGATTTCTGGATCGATTCTCCATCAATCTGCATCAAAATCCAGCAACAAAATATTTTTTCGATTTTTTGTCCAAATTTCTGGGGGTCCCCTTCAAAAATATAAAAAATGCTAGGAAGGACAAGGGGGCGCACAGCGATGGCTATATCTTGGCCAAGATCCTTTCCTTCCGATTCTTAAGCGGAATACCTTAAACGATTTCTGGATCGATTCTCCATCAATCTGCATCAAAATCCAGCAATAAAATATTTCTCAGATTTTTTGTCCAAATTTCTGGGGGTCCCCTTCAAAAAGTGAGAAAATGCATGGAAGGCCCACAGCGATGGCTATATCTTGGTCAATTTCCATCCGATTCTTAAGCGGAATAGCTTAATCGATTTCTGGATCGATTCTCCGTCAATCTGCATCAAAATCCAGCAGCAAAATATTTTTCAGATTTTTTGTCCCAATTTCTGAGGGTCCCCTTCAAAAAGTGAGAAAATGCATGGAAGGACAAGGGGGCCCACAGCGATAGCTATATCTTGGCCAATTTCCATCCGATTCTTAAGCGGAATACCTTAAACGATTTCTGGATCGATTCTCCGTCAATCTGCATTAAAATCCAGCAGCAAAATATTTTTCAGATATTTTGTCCAAATTTCTGGGGGTCCCCTTCAAAATTATGGAAAAATGCTTGGGAGGACAAGGGGGCCCACAGCGATAGCTATATCTTGGCCAATTTCCATCCGATTCTTAAGCGGAATACCTTAAACGATTTCTGGATTGATTCTCCGTCAATCTGTATTAAAATCCAGCAGCAAAATATTTTTCAGATTTTTTGTCCAAATTTCTGGGGGTCCCCTTCAAAAAGTGAGAAAATGCATGGAAGGCCCACAGCGATGGCTATATCTTGGTCAATTTCCATCCGATTCTTAAGCGGAATAGCTTAATCGATTTCTGGATCGATTCTCCGTCAATCTGCATCAAAATCCAGCAGCAAAATATTTTTCACATTTTTTGTCCAAATTTCTGGGGGTCCTTTCTTTTTCCCCTTCAAAAAGTGAGAAAATTGCATGGAAGGACAAGGGGGCCCACAGCGATAGCTATATCTTGGCCAATTTCCATCCGATTCTTAAGCGGAATACCTTAAACGATTTCTGGATCGATTCTCCGTCAATCTGTATTAAAATCCAGCAGCAAAATATTTTTCAGATATTTTGTCCAAATTTCTGGGGGTCCCCTTCAAAAAGTGAGAAAATGCATGGAAGGCCCACAGCGATGGCTATATCTTGGTCAATTTCCATCCGATTCTTAAGCGGAATAGCTTAATCGATTTCTGGATCGATTCTCCGTCAATCTGCATCAAAATCCAGCAGCAAAATATTTTTCAGATTTTTTGTCCCAATTTCTGAGGGTCCCCTTCAAAAAGTGAGAAAATGCATGGAAGGACAAGGGGGCCCACAGCGATAGCTATATCTTGGCCAATTTCCATCCGATTCTTAAGCGGAATACCTTAAACGATTTCTGGATCGATTCTCCGTCAATCTGCATTAAAATCCAGCAGCAAAATATTTTTCAGATATTTTGTCCAAATTTCTGGGGGTCCCCTTCAAAATTATGGAAAAATGCTTGGGAGGACAAGGGGGCCCACAGCGATAGCTATATCTTGGCCAATTTCCATCCGATTCTTAAGCGGAATACCTTAAACGATTTCTGGATCGATTCTCCGTCAATCTGCATTAAAATCCAGCAGCAAAATATTTTTCAGATTTTTTGTCCAAATTTCTGGGGGTCCCCTTCAAAAAGTGAGAAAATGCATGGAAGGACAAGGGGGCCCACAGCGATAGCTATATCTTGGCCAATTTCCATCCGATTCTTAAGCGGAATACCTTAAACGATTTCTGGATCGATTCTCCGTCAACCTGCATTAAAATCCAGCAGCAAAATATTTTTCAGATTTTTTGTCCAAATTTCTGGGGGTCCCCTTCAAAAATATGGAAAAATGCTTGGAAGGACAAGGGGGCCCACAGCGATAGCTATATCTTGGCCAATTTCTATTTGATTCTTAAGCGGAATACCTTAAACGATTTCTGGATCGATTCTCCGTCAATCTGCATTAAAATCCAGCAGCAAAATATTTTTCAGATTTTTTGTCCAAATTTCTGGGGGTCCCCTTCAAAAAGTGAGAAAATGCATGGAAGGACAAGGGGGCCCACAGCGATAGCTATATCTTGGCCAATTTCCATCCGATTCTTAAGCGGAATACCTTAAACGATTTCTGGATCGATTCTCCGTCAATCTGCATTAAAATCCAGCAGCAAAATATTTTTCAGATATTTTGTCCAAATTTCTGGGGGTCCCCTTAAAAATTATGGAAAAATGCTTGGGAGGACAAGGGGGCCCACAGCGATAGCTATATCTTGGCCAATTTCCATCCGATTCTTAAGCGGAATACCTTAAACGATTTCTGGATCGATTCTCCGTCAATCTGCATTAAAATCCAGCAGCAAAATATTTTTCAGATTTTTTGTCCAAATTTCTGGGGGTCCCCTTCAAAAATATGGAAAAATGCTTGGAAGGACAAGGGGGCCCACAGCGATAGCTATATCTTGGCCAATTTCTATTTGATTCTTAAGCGGAATACCTTAAACGATTTCTGGATCGATTCTCCGTCAATCTGCATTAAAATCCAGCAGCAAAATATTTTTCAGATATTTTGTCCAAATTTCTGGGGGTCCCCTTCAAAAAGTGAGAAAATGCATGGAAGGCCCACAGCGATAGCTATATCTTGGCCAATTTCCATCCGATTCTTAAGCGGAATACCTTAAACGATTTCTGGATCGATTCTCCGTCAATCTGCATTAAAATCCAGCAGCAAAATATTTTTCAGATTTTTTGTCCAAATTTCTGGGGGTCCCCTTCAAAAATATGGAAAAATGCTTGGAAGGACAAGGGGGCCCACAACGATAGCTATATCTTGGCCAATTTCCATCCGATTCTTAAGCGGAATACCTTAAACGATTTCTGGATCGATTCTCCGTCAATCTGTATTAAAATCCAGCAGCAAAAT